ACCCAGTCCTTGCTCCAGATGCCTTCTGATTCCCTACTGCCCCCATGCCCTACATTAGCCAAACCCAAATATGGGCCAAGGGGCTCAGAAGCTTGTTGATGGGGTCCCTCCATGGCAGACTCCTGAAACTGAGGGTTGCTGGGCAATGAGAACCATGAGACCCATGCAGCCCAACACCCAGGTGGAAGTAAATGCTGGCTATAGTTCAGTTAATATCCAGGTACTGTATGTATTACGTGTGTAAATTATGTGTAATATATATGCAAATAGATATGATTCTAGAATTCAAAAGGATCTAGCACCAACATAAAATATCCATTATAAAAATAAAATTTTAAATTCACCTGAAGATATAGAGGTAGAAATACTAACTGTGAGTTTCCTACACGAGAGTGTAATATATTCAAAGGGGGAAAAATGACATTAAAAGTATATGCTGTGGAATGTATGAAAAGCAAAGGTAGATCAAGAGAATAAACAGACCAGGGAGTGAAAGGAGAGGAAGGAGGGGGGGGGAAGTGTCTGGGAGGGATATTGGCCAAATTATAATGCTATAATATGTGCATGTGATAAAATGTAGTGATAAATTCCACCATTAATTATGTACAACTATAATGCACCAATAAAAAAAAATGTGGAGGAAAGAAAGAGAAAAAAGAAAAAAAGTTCATGCTGGCCAGATGAAAGGACACACATAATCCCAGTGACTCTGGAGGCCAAGACAGGAGGATCACAAGATTGAGGCCAGCTTCAACAATTTAGTGAGATTTGTCTCAAAAAATAAAAAGGACTGGAGATGTATTTCAATGGTAAAGTGACCCTTGGCTCAATCCCCAGCAACAACCACCACCCCACCCCACCCCCCAAAAAAAAACAACACAGGCTGATTTTTGTTTTTCCAATGATTTTTTCTTCAGAGTAACAGAGAGCAAGAAATACACATAGCATGGGGGCTGGGGATGGAATTTTCCCCTTCACTGAGCTACAGTTTGGTCCTAGAATTTGACCCCACCATGTCATCCTTTGCCTAGCCTCTACCACACAGAGTCCCACAGAGTCATGATGGAGGGTATCATGAAGTTGGGGCCATTGCTCACTCTCCCCAACTCTTCGACGTTGCAATTTGTCCCCAGGTCTTGATGATTGTCCCTGACTCCTTTGCAGACAAAACAAATATTATCTAATGGGTCTAAATGTACCAGCCACATAGATGGGGAAAGCCCCCTCCTAGGATATCCATGCAGGCCCATCTCATTGCTTCCACCTCTCCCAGTCCCCCAGGAAGCAGGAGGTCCTAATGCTCACCTGGTCATAGGTGAACAGATGTTACAGAGCAAAGAGACATTATGGAGTATCAGCAGGGGCAGAGGTCCTGTGTTACCAGTTTTTGAGATCACATCAGAAGGATTTCAGACATGTCACTCAGAGTAGCAGGCACAAGTTTATTAGAAGGGCTAGGAAAGTGAAAGGGGGACACTCCCAAGGGAGAGAGTGGGTCCTCTCAGAGAAGAAAGCCAAGGTGTGCCCTTCCTGCCCTTCTGTTTCATTAAGGGTCCCAGGAAAGTTACCCACCAGGTCCACCTCTTGACTTCTGACTGACAGCAGGATTGCATCAAACTTCCAAGTCCCTACTATACATGTGTGGTCTTATCCCATGGAAGGGAGATTTGATATGCTAATGGCCCAAGGCAACTCTGGGTACTTTGGCCCATGTTGACTGTTTCTTATTGGGATTGTTCTTATGAATTTAAGGAGTTTTGTTACTAATTATCCTGTCTCTTTGATTTTGGGAACCTAGTTGCTGTAAAGTCCACAAAAGTGCCCTTCTCCATCAAGGTAAACTTTGTTATTCTTATTGGAAGAGAGAGGAATTTTTCAGGGGCCTGCATATCTCCTGCAGATAACAGGTGGTCTGCTGAACAATGTGACATATCCTATGGATGTATGCCAGCCAGCACCACAGGTAAATTGCTTTTTAAAGGAAAACATATGGGGGTGAGCACAGTAGACCCTCTTTATGGAATTATCCTCTTAATCTCACATTCCCCCCACTCATGTCTCTCTGTTCCCTATGACAGAGAGGCGTTAGGTGGTGAAGGCCCTGTGCCTAGAACCCATACTTTTCAGTTTCATAGCCTTGTAACTGGGTGGCGTTAATAACCCCCAGGGCAGAAAATGGTAGACCATACTACTTGCTGCTCCGACTTCAAAGTCGAATTGGTGGGAAAATAGATTTTATTCGAAACCAGCTTTGGAGGAAGGGAGAAGAAATTTTTGAAACAAAAATTTGAAGGCTCTGGGATGAGGAAAGCAAAGAGTGGAAAGGGATACATTAGAACAAAAGACAGGAATTTTGTAGATTTGCTACTTTCCTATTGCCTCTTTATTACAGCAAAAAGAACCCGGACCTCCTGGAGTGTTATATTTAGATATGAGATATCCCCCAATGCTCGCGTGTAAGCCAAAATTCTCAGAGGTGAATGATTGGGTTATGATTCGTGCATTAATCCACTGTCAGGGATTAACAGTGCAGTAACTACAGGCAGGTAGGAAGTGACTGGAGGAAGTAGGTCACTGGAGTCCTGCCTGCGGGATTTATAATTTGTCCTATGAGCAGAGTTCTCTCTGCTTCCTGATTGCCTGTCCCGAGCTGTTTTCCTCCGTCATGCCCGTCCACCATGATATTCTGTCTCTCCTCAGGTCCAGAGCTATGGAGTCAGCCATTATGGCCTGAGACCTCAGAAACTGTGAGCCCAAATAAACTTTTCCTCTTCTAATTGTTCTCGTGGGGTCTTTTGGTCAGAACAATGAAAAAGCTGACTAAAACATTGTTCCAGCATCTTCATCTCCTTTTTGGATAAACAGGTTTTATTTCAAAAACTGAGGAGAGGGAAGGCATTACAGAGAGCTGTCTTTGAAATTATGAATACCAAAACAAAAGATATTAGAAAGAGAAACCGATTGGAGAAATAGCTAGGAGAAGAGAAAGAGTTTTAAGAAAACGTCTTTTTAAGGAAATGCTTTTGGGTTTGTTATTGTTGGGGTTTTTTTTAAGGCCTCTCCAAATTGTTCTATTACAGCCTTATTCTGTCTGGGGCAGAATAACATTACACTCTTTATTACATATTCATCACTCACTAGGCCAGAGAGGTAAAACCTGGTCATCCTTGTATGCATTTGAAATATACTTGGCCACCTGAAATAATAGTCAACATTATGTTTAAGTAGTCACACAAGGCTCTGGGTTCAATCCGTAGCACTGTGAAATAAAATACACACACTATTTTAGTTTTTTTTTTAATTGTAGCAAATTACATACAATATAAATTTACCATCTTAACCATTTTAAGTGTACAATCTAGTAGTGTTAAGTACATTCACATTCTTATGCAACCCATCTTCAAAACTTTTCTCATCTTGCAAAGCAAACTACTATTAGACAATTCCCCATTAGACACATCAATGTTTCGTGATTATTTTCTTCAAAGGAATTTTATCTCCTGCTAGTTTTCCTGTTGGCCCGCTTCCTTTTCGTCCTCCCTCTCGATCCCCACAGTCACATTTGAACAATGCAGCTCACCCTCTTCTCCCATCTCTTTGTGACCATTATTGACATCCACAGAAGAAATAAAATTCCCCCAAGTCACACAGATCCCCTGAGAACCTCTAGGAGAAGGCTACTGGTCCACTGGGCCTCAAGGATCCCCCCCACAAACTTCTCTACTCAAAACCATCAGACAAGAAGTAGCCTCAGGCCCAAGGAGGTACCTAGAAGAAATCTATTGAGTCAGCACTCTCTGGGTTCAGACCTCTGTAATAATTTTTGTCAATCAAAAAGAGTCTCCTTCTCCAATTTTCTATGGGGAATGGAAGCAGATCTCACTCTGTTCTTGCTCCTGAGTGGCAAACTTAACCCTAGTGGTGGACCATCAAGCCGTCTAAAGGTGAGTGACCACTCATGATGCCAGGAAAGAGCTCATCTTTCACCCCACACACAATATGAAACTAAAAAACAAAATGGCAAGCCAAGGGACATGCATAAGAAGGGTTTGATATAGAGGAGGAAACCCACAGAGGTGCAAGTCATGGGTGCTTGTGACCCTACAGGAAGAATTTCAAGAGAGTCACACATAGTAGCAGAAAGAAGTTTATTAGAGAAAAAAGGAAAAGGAAAAGGGACACTGTTAAGGGAGAAAGAGTAAGAATGGGCCCTCAGAGAGGAGAGAGACAGTCCCTCCACCACCAACATCCAGATTTATTGGAGGTCCCAGGGAAGTTTCCTTATAGTCACACTCAGGTGCCCCTCTTGACTTTTGACTGACAACAGGATTGCCTCAGACTCAAGTCTACACTGTGATGGTCTTACAAGTATCCAAGCAAAACCCACAGGCTAAATTTTTACCCTAATAATGACATGCCAAAAGCCAACTCTAGGTCACCTTGGCCCATATTAACAGATTCGAATTGGCCTGAGTCCTGGAATCTTCTTGTATATAAAGGCAATAAAATTTCCCCCTACAGGGAAGTTTGTAGGGGGACAACAGATAACAGGTTGTTTGGTTTAAAAGATAATATATTCTATTGACTGAAGCTAGAGCAATTATGCCCTTATGTAAATTTCTTTTGAAAAGAAAGCAACTGGGGGTCCAACACAATATACCCTCAACTTCATGTTGCTTTTTTAATTGATTCTTTTCTAGTTATATAAAACATTAGATACATTTTGACAAAATCATAAAAGCAAGGAATATAATTTGCTATAATTCAGTCCCCAGCCCTTCTCCCTCCCCATCCTTCTACTCCACTGATCTTTCTGCAACATATTTATAGGTTTAAATTTTTTTTTAAATTAGTGTGTTGGGTTTACATTGTGCTAATGTTCTTATCATTATAACTTATGTTTATCTCCTGTAGTACTGATGACAATATTATCCTGCCATTGCTCCTTTATTACTGAGAGAAGGTACAGGCAGTGGTGGAATGGATGTTCCAAAATACCCTCAGTAATCTTCACATTGTTTTTTTAGCACAGTGAATTCTCCATTCCAGGGAAGTGCTGCTACCAAAAAGCTGCATATTTCTACCTAAAAAAAAAAAAAGACAGCAACAACAAAATCAGTAACATGCCAAAATAAGAAGAAAAAAAAAATTTGTCCTGTTGCTGGATGTCCGATTAGGAATACCCTAAAAGATGGGTCCCGCGGGAAACTGCAAAGCTGGAGGCTGCAGACTTCCACCATCAGCAGTTCCCCAGACAGATTTTTGGTCCATGCTGACCACAGGTAGACAATAAACACTAACACTAATAACATTTTGGTGGAAGATTAGATGAAAAGTTGACTATTTTTTATTCTCTTGAACACTTCCTACAATGTAAATGAAATAATTCTATATTATATATAAACTAATGTATGCTATTTTAATGATTAAATAATAATCATTAAAAAATTATAAATTTTATCTAATAACAACTCATTGGAAAAGATCAATTTAGAGGGGCTGGGGTTGTGGGATTCATGGAGAGCCACTACATGTGAGGCACTGGGTTCGATCCTCAACACAACTCAAAAATAAAATAAGGGTATTGTGTCCATCTACAACTAAAAACATTAATAAAAAAAATCAAAGAACAATTTAGAAGATTCTAGAACCTAATATATCTTTTGTTCCAAAGAGCTCTCCTCTTCATTTCACACGTATATAATGGATAAATGATTAGATGGATGATGGGTGAATGGATGGAGAGATGGATAGACAGCAGCCAAGGACATCTTAGTCTATTAAGTTATATGATAGATGAGTGCATGGATGTCTTTCTTTAGAGTGGAATTGATGACCTCCTGTCTTTTAGGGGAGAGTCAAGGAGAAGACCATGTCCAGGGTCCTGCACCCTTTACCTTAAAAGTCACAGGGTTGGCCATCTGGGGATGAATACCAGGAGCTATTCAGACCTCCAAGAGAGAGTCTGGGTACCTCAAGTTTTTCTGATCACCTGGAGGCCTTGATAAACCCAGATGGGACTTGAAATCTCCAGGACTTTTGCAGATGATTGCTTTGACACCTACCTTTTTCAGGTCAGAGTCTTCCTGAATTACACAATCTTCTTCATTGTTTAAAGGCTTTTTGCAAGTGCTGCGGGCAATTTCAACTTCAATTAAGTATTCCATACGATCTGTGATCTGTCAATTAGCAATGATGTGATTTTATTCAAAATTTTTTTATTTTAATTTTTTTCAAGTTTTAGCAGACACAAAAATTCCTGTAACTTTTTGCTCCTCCCAACCCTCCACACCACCACCACCCCCAAAACCTGTCTTTAGGGAAAGGACAATATCCACTGTTTGGATTAGTTTGCAAAATACACAGGGAAAGACTCCTTTTCCAATTTGGGGCCTCCTTGAAGAAAAGACCTTCTGATTTTATTTTTGGTCCCAAAGTTTTGTTAAGGGCAAGGGAAGAAGGGAATGAACTCCAGAACCATAAACTCTCCTGGGCCCTATGAGGAACAGCCCCCTCAGCCACATTGGGCCCCCCTCCCTTTCCCATACCCTCCTCAGATTCCTATGAAATCTTCCACCCAATGCTCCTTCCTCTATCTTAGCACATGGTCCTTAATGTGGAGCAACAGTTGGTTTATAATAAGAAATCGTTATTTACTGATTCAATTAATAATTGTATAAGGTAAAGTCTGCTCTAGATGTACATTTAAATCTCCTTCTACCTGATTTTAAAATGTTAAGAGCAGGAGAGGAAGGGGTGTCTGGACCTTTCTCTACCAGACCTTTCCTTATTGCTGTCTCCAAGCCTCAATAAAGTTGGGTTCAATTTTATCTGAACCCCCCAAAAATGAGCAAAGGTGACTGTAGCCTGCCTTATAGAGTAAAAGCTGATTAGACAACATCAAGAACAAGCTAAGTTCTTCATATAAGCTAACGTTGCCATTGACAGGAATGCCTGTGGATACAGGTTGAGCATCCCTAACCAAAATCTGAAGTCCCTTTTAGAACCAACCTGACACCACAAGTGGAAAGTTCTACGTATCACCTCACATGATTTGTAGTAGTCAAAATTTAGGTGCACTAGAAATAGTGTATAAAGTTACCTTCAGCACTAAGAATTTTTTTAAAGTAATCATTAAAAAAGTTACCTTCAGGAGGTTATTTGTATAGGTTGTACATGGATTTCATATTTAGACTTATATCCTATCCCCAAGATCTCTCAACTAAAACATACTTTAAAAAATCTGAAACACTAGGGGAGGGAGGGATGAGAAGGAGACATGGGGGTAGGAAAGATGGTGGAATGATATGGACATCATTACCTAGGTACATGTATGACTGTACATATGGTGCAATGCTACATCATGTACAACCAGAGAAATGAAAAGTTGTGCTGCAATGGTGTACAATAAAACAAAATGCATTCTGCTGTCACATATACCTAATTAAAATAGATAAATTAATTTTTTTTAAATTGAAACACTTCTGGTCCCAAGCATTTCATGTAAGACTTCTTCAACCTGTAACTATACTTGCTAACCTTCACCAAGTGCTGGCTTTGTGCCAGACACTGGTCTCGGAGATTTGCATACAATAACTCAATTAATCTTCAATCCTCTAGGGTGAGGATGTCACTTCCTTTTTTATTTTCAGGTAAGGAAAACAGGTGCAGAGAGGCTGAGTATACATCTAACTAAGGGCTGATCCAGAATTCAAACCAAGCCACCACAGCTCGCATTGCTAGCCAAAGGGCTCCACTGCCTGTCCATCTCTACCAATCCAGAGAAGCCCAAGGGCATTCCCACATGCTGACTACAGGGAAATGTGAACCTAATGCCAGGAGGCTGGACCATCTAGTCACGTGAATATCCTCACCACATCCTCACAATCTTTTTCTAAAAATGAGCTAACCAGAGTGATCATTTTAAATTTCAAATTAGATCATATGAATCCTAAGAACTCCATGACCTCATGTTGTTGTTGTTTTTTTCCTGACTTTTCAGTGCACCTAAGATAAAGTGAAAATCTTAATCATGGCCTGCAAGACCCAGTGTGGTGTTGTCACCATCTACCTCTCTGGCCAGCCCCCCAGCAGCCTTATAGAAGCATTTAAAATGTATGACTGCTCTTCCTCACCCCTGCACCCGCAGATCCTCCCTGCTCCCCTTCTGTAGTGGATGCAGTGAGTGGTACTCCATGCCACATCCTGTTTCCAAATATGCTACCAGTTCCTATAGTTCTTGCCTGGGATTTCCTGCCACCAGACTTCAAGGGCTCCTGGAGAAGCTCTCAACAAATGATAGGTGTGAGTTGGTGGATAAATAACCCAGCTTCTTCACCTATAAATGGGTCCAACTCTGAGGTGGGTTCTGCATGTCTCCTGAATCATCCAGGGAGACCAAACCCAGTTGCTCATGGTGATCATACAGCCATCAACTCACCTTTGTATTGGCCACCTTCCCTACCCTGTCTGCCTTCCCCTCTAACAATCTGGTACTTGCTGGGATGACCACTTGCCCCCATCCAAATAAATAATCTTCCCTTGAATTCTAGCATTAGGCTGTCCTTCTGGGGAAACTCAGAATATAACACCTCCCATCAACCTCCTTCATCTGTTTGACTCTCACTCTGCCTTCAGGTCTTATCCCTTCCCTCTCCTACCAGTACCACCAACAGCCATTCTGCTTCTCAGGAATGACGAGGATCAGCTAGAGGGATTTAACACTTACTGAGACCTGGGTCTCTGACCCAGAGATCCTCCTCTTATTGGTGAGGGCGTGGCCTGCACAGTAGGATATTTATAAGATCTTCGGGTGAAAAACACTGTCTAAAGAAGACTTCCCCTGACACCCACACGCCTGTGTATCACACCAACAGAACAGAGACCACAATCCCAATTCCTCGCTTAGGGGTTTTCTTTTCAATTTGACTGCTGGCTCCCTAAAGACTGGGATTACTTTTATCTATCATGCCACCCCATCTACATTAGCTGGTGCAAAAGTGGCTTCTGAGAAAAGTGCTGAATTCACATGCTACTTCTTTGAGTTCCAAAGAAAGTGAACTGTGAAGGAAACTGGCAAAGTGACAAGACCAGGATCAATTCCTTTATCCCAAAAGACCACCCAGAATTTCCAAATCCATTCAGAGACAGATTTTGGAGTGTACCTGATCGATAAAGGGTGCTTCATCACCAGCATCATGTTCTAGAAAAACAGTGCTGATGCTGTGTTTTCCCAAGGCATGAAACATAAATTCTTCCAATAGTGACCTTTCTGTTGGATGCCTTTATGACTGAGTCCTACAAGTTTCACGGTGTAATTTCAAGCAAGACCACCAACCACCTGACTGAGGTCGCTATTTACAGTCAGCTGCATTCCAACACTTACAGTCTTTCATTGGACAGAGCAGTGACCACCATGTTACAAACGCCAGGGAGCACCATACCTATTGGAATTCACATAAGCAATGCTTTCTGGAGTTGAACTACTCATAACCCTGTGAAGAAGGGCACATTTTTATAAGCAGAAAATCAATGTGACTCCAATATTTATCTGTAATAAATAAATGTTGGCTTAAAAAATCCAATAACATAGAAAAAGCACTTACTAGCTTATATATTCAACAGTGCCATGTACCTCACTTCAAGTCCATATTCCACATTAAGTGGACAGGTTCAAAAAGTTGCCTGTGGTAGTATTATTGCAAAATATTCATGGTTCTCCATTTATCTCCCAACCTTAGTAAACACATTAACATTTGATTTGAAGTTCTGGGGTCAAATGAATTAAGATATGCAAAGAACTTAGAACAAAATCCCAAACATATATAGATAGTGCTTTGTGTTGTTACTGTTTACTAAGTTAGTGTATATACTGTTGAACACTCACATATTTTAGATTTTGTACATCTCAACATTTTTCTCATATACCCACTCTCAGTCTGGTTTCAGCCTGTGCCACCATATGCAAATATACTATCTGGAAAAAGCATCTTACCTGCAGATAGGATTGCAGTATCCTGGTGACGATGAAGATATTGTTGTCCTCGCTCTCTTCATTGTATTCTCGCATGGCAAACTACAAGCACTGTCTCACGTTGGTATTTGAGTTACTGATAGATTTGAATTCCCTCAACACCTTTATCTGATTCTTGGCTTCATCAATACTGACCACAAGGGCCACATGAATGGTGAGAAGGAGCAGGAAAAGCCACAACTGTCTGTTCATGGTCCCTCAATCAAAAGGCACAAATGCGTCTTCTCTTTGTCCTCTCAGGGCTGGAGTTGTGAGTGGCCTGTATTAACCTAAATATCACATAGAGAAAGCTTCTCTAAAGATGGATTAAGCTTATTTGGGGGATAGTAGAGTCTTGGAATGGGAATGCTTGGGCCATGGTAAACTGTGGGTGTATTCAAGGAGGCTAAGACAAGGACAGGTTTTTAAAAACAAAATGAGAAGGACATAAGAAAATTTGAAACAAAACCTGAGCTACAAAAATCAATAACAAGTGACATCAGTCCAAGGTTAGACTGTCATGGGACACATGACCTTCCAGAAATATTTTCTTTATAAGGTTGTGGTGAGCTCTGTGAAAGATTGTGGTTCTGGCAGAGTCTTGTTGAATAGTTTTGTTACCAGGCATACAAACATGAGATCCCTTCCTTCGTAAACCTCCCCCAAGCTTTATGAACGTATGTATGTATGTATGCATGTGTTTTGGTTAATGTCTGGCAAAAGCAACTCTATTTTGATTCTGATAACTTTTATAGTTCAAGGATCTCACCAAAACAAGGGGTTTTCTGTCCTAATCAGTGAACCATTAGGGTCATCCTTAGAACTATCCCTTTCCTTGTGCAAGAAAACTCACGAATGGCACTAATGGCACCCCAGTCTCTGACACAAGTCTTTCCCTTCTCCTTCTATCTTAGGTGTGGTCTGTGTTTCTAAGGAGAAATTCCTCCAGATAGACGCTGATGTGTCTATACCTATCCCATGCCTGCCACCAGTTACCTATATCTCAGTGCTGTAGGACAGGACTATGAAATTGTTAGCCTAAGGTTTCCTGGCCCAGCCCTCTGACCCTCCAACCTGCTTCACCTGTGAGGCTCCTTCTTCGTCCTTGTGGAATTGGACTCTGGTGGACTGAGCCAGCTTGTAGTTCTTCTGAGTCTCCAGCACTCTCGGTGTGTGCCTGTGCCCTGGTCAAGGGGCTCTGTGGGTCTGTCTTTGCTTTCTGAGCCCAGGCCCTGCATGAGAGCCACACTTTGTGATGCAATTCAGCATTTGTGACCTTGCCTTAGGGAGGGCACCCCTTACCTTCCCACCTGTGGCCTTCAGATCCAACCAGCAGTTAGAGGGATACGGACAGCAAGAAAGTACTTCCCACAAAGTAGAGAGCCCCTTGGGGGTCTTCTGCCCTCCTGTGCAATAATCCCAGCCTTCTAAATGCTTGGCCTCTGGACTCCATTTGTCTTGCACCTCACTTCCCTATCCTGCCAAAATTAGGGGTACATAGCTCACCCTGATGCTGAGGCCTAGGTCTTAGAGGGAGGAGGTAGGCAGCATCCCTCAAACTGCCAGAGATTCTGTTTTTCTGTGCCCAGTAAATCAGTGCCCAGCAAGGTTCCTGAAGAACAGAGGTGGGCCTTCATCCCAAGCTGCAAAGATTGATGCTCTTTTGACCATGAGGAAGGGCAACATATAGTAACCACATATAGGCATAAATCTGCCAGGCAGGTTGTAAAACATTACAGATTGTGAATACACCACATATTTAAATCTCCCTATCAATAGACTGGTTACTTCTCATTTTCAGTTGTGGGCAACAGTACTACGATGAAAACTTTATTATCTTTGAGAAATTACACAAAAATCGAGATGAGGAATTACTGCAAAAGCTTCATATACTTTCAAATTTATTATTTACTGACAAATTGCTAGTCACTAATAATGTATTAGTGGTTTTTGTAATTTTGCTGCATACAAAAAGCACTAGGGGAATTGTAAGACCCCAGGTCACATCTCACCAATAAAATCAGAATCTCTGAGAAAGGTTTTAGGAAACCAATAGTTTTTATTTATTTTTTATTTGTTCTAATTAGTTATACATGACAGTAGAATGCACTTTAATATATCATAAATAAATGGAATATAACTGCTCATTCTTCTGGTTGTTCGTGATGGAGAATTACAACGATCATGTAATCATATAGGCATATGGGGTAATATTATCCAATTTATTCTACCATCATTCCTACCCCCAGATTCCCTCTCCTCCTTTCACTCCCCTCTGTCTAATCCAAAGTACCTCTGTTCTTCCATAGCCCACCCCATACCTCTTATTTTGAATTGTCATCCACATATCAGAGAAAACATTCGGCCTTTGGTTTTTTGGGATTGACTTATTTTGCTTAGCATGATATTCTCCAGCTCCATCCATTTACCGCCAAATGTCATAATTTCATTCTTTTTTAAGGCTGAGTAACATTCCATTGTGAATGGATAAAGAAAAATGTGGTTTATATACACAATGAAATCAGTAGTTTTAAAAGTTCCTAAAGAATTCCAACATACTTGAGAACCAGAGTACCACATCTGTGCTTCTTGAATATTAACATGCACAGGAAGCACCTGGGAATCTTGTTAAAATGTGAATGCTGGATTGGTGATATAGCTCAGTTGGTACAGTGCTTGCCATGCATGCACAAGCCCTGGGTTCAATCCCCAGCACCACAAAAAAAGAAAAAGAGTGTGAGTGCTGATTCAGTTGGTCTGGGGCAGGGCACGACAGTCTGCATTTCTAATCAGTTCCTGGTTGATATGGATGATCTGGTTTTAGCATTATGATTTGAGCAGAGAGGTACTGAATTGTGACAATTCTTGTTTTTCCATATCTTTGCCTTCAGCCTAGTTATTCTTTCTCAAATGGATAGAAAAGTAATTGTGTTGCATTGATTTTATTTGCACTATTTGTATTATTGTATGAGGATAACCATTTCCTCAGTAATTCTTCTCATAATTTCTCATGTTTTTACCCCATTTTTTCTAGTGTAATATTTGTCACTCTAAAAATAATTTCAAAAGCTTTGGAGGAATCTTAAAGTAATTTATATTTTTGTATGTGTGCAACAAGACTGTTCTTCAATGCATCTTCCATCTTCTGAATTTATTCAGACTGGATTTTTGTTTTTAATATTTTTTATAAGAGTATTTAAATTTTTGAGGTACCCAAATTTATCAAAAGCTTTTATCATTACTAGATTTTATGCTTTTTATTAAATGGACTTCTTGACTTAAATTTTTTAACTGACTCATTTTATTTATATTTTTGTAATTTGTAAAATTACCATGCTTGTATTGTGTGTGCTGGCCTCTTCAATCCTATCTTTGACAGCTTTTCCACAACTAGCTAACCAAGCTCCTCCTGGAGAATTGGCCTGGCCTCTGCTAGAAGTGTCTCCCCAGCCCCATGAACAGACTCCCCCCACCCAGGGAGTCTCAACACACATTCCATTTCCACAGAGACCTCCCCCATCTAAATTTCCCCTAGTTACTCTTGTTTTCATTCATTCATGCTGTTCATTACTTTCATATCATTTATCATAGCCTGCAGTTACTTATTGGTGAATTTATATATTTTCTGTCTTTCCTCACAAGAAATCAAATGGGCTTTGGAAGGACAGGGAATCCTTTATAAGCACAAATAACTCAAACAGATCGGCAAGCTGTCTTTATTAAGTGTTGGTGGAACGGCACATGGCACATTTGCAGGGTAGAAAACGGCAACTGGTTACAAGTGGGGTCTACTTTTTATAGGTCTTAATGAGAGGTAATAATAGCAGAACATTTAGTGTGACTTAACCATTAGAGACTGCAGACCTGGGGTTGGCCAGTCAGGAAACTAGTTGTGCGGGTGGAAATCTAACTCAGGAAAACAGCTCTAAAAGCTCAAAACTCACTGTTATAGGGACAAAAATCTAAAGCCCAGAGACTATTTGCTTAACTTCTCTCTCCAGGGACCCATTTTCCTTGGGGAAAGGATGAAAGCCCATAGCCCAGGGCCTAAAGTTGGCCTTCCCCTCCTCCCTTCCCAGGTCACACTCTCCAGAGATTCTTCTGAAAATTCTGTCCTATGACAATTCATGGGACTGGATCATTCAGGAAGAGGCGGGCTGTCTGCCAAATTGAAATCCTGAGACCTAGGGCAAAAGAGGGAAGACGACCACCCAGCCATTCCATTCTGAGGCAGGGAAAATAGGTGATGCTGACAATTGTGGAAGTTAGAATGGGCCCCAGAGGGTGAACACAGGCATTGAAGAGCAAGTGCGGACTTGGAGGCTAAAAGCCACTGTCTGTCAAGCCCTGGAGAAGATGTTCTTGTTAGTCAGGCAATCTGTGATATCTATGAGGGCAGAACCTCTTGTGAGTCTCAGTTACCCTCCCCCATTTTCTTGGCCTGGGTCTGGCAGAAATGCTGCCCACTGTAAGCCTGATCACTGAGATGGAAGCAGAAGGGATGCAAGTTGCTGCTACCTGAAAATTTTTTCTGCATATTTTCTGAGTACATGGATGGGGGCATGGAGAATGAATAAATGAATGAATGAATGAAGTGATGGAAGAATAAATGAATGGAACCATCAAATGAAGGATGCACTACTTCACAGAACTTACCAGTCTGCACCTGAAGTCAAGGTAGTAATAATAACAATAATAAATTCTCCATTGTTTGTCACTGACAGTGACATCCATAGCAAAGAAATAATACGACAAGGTACAAAACAGCTCAAGGACCCAGAAGGTGCTGTGAGAGATACTTTTAATTGTGCTGGTGCTGTGCAGACCCAGGACGAAAGGCTGTCAAACTCCAGAGAAAGAGAGGACTTCTGCTGTGGATAGCCAAAGATCCCTTCCCTGTCTATGTCTGTAAACAGGTGCTGTTCAGGATGTTGAACTTGGTCATCCATGCTAGGGAAAATACAATAAAAGTACAGCGCACCTGAAAAAAAAATTGCGATGCATACATTGTAAAACATAATGTAATGCATTGATATCATTTAACATGTAGTAAGTAGGGGACTCAATATGCATCAAAAACAAAAGAAAAAGAGAACATAAAAGCAAAAACATTCACCTGGAGCAGAGCTCATAAAGCTCAAGGATTCACCAGCATAATGGGCAGAAATTACTGAATTCCCCAACTTCAATGCTAGGGCTCACTAGAGGGCATCTGCCTAGAAGCCATCACCCTGAGGCATCCAGTCCACTCAGAGCCTCCCCAATACACATAAATGACAGATGATCTGTCCCCATGCTCTGACAGAGCCAGCAGACAGCCTGAAAGACGGTCCTGCTGGCCACCATCAAACAGAGTAGCAGCACAAACCTACCCCAGAGGCTGCCTGCAAGGATGCTGGTTGGAGGGGGAGACCCCCCCCCATTGATGGCATGCCTCTGACAGACAACCATCCTGAAGATCCCACATCCCATGGATCACATGTCAGTCATAGGATGGCCACATCAGAACTCAAGCCCACCAGGAATTGCCCTTAAAACCCAGTTACAAGAAGGAAAGGTGGGTGAATAGATAACTAAACAGTCCTCCAGTCCCCAGACATGAGCAAAAGAAGAGTGAGGACCACAGGGAGAACATCATCTGCCTGAACCTCAGGGGTTTCTGAAAGATACAGGGCTGGGACCCCAGGAAGGGCTCCATCTCATGACAAAGGCCTCATGGATGTCTGCAGGTTGCCTGTGGTCAGCCAGTAAATCTGTGAGCAGAGGGCTGCTCCCAGGGATGGGAAACAGGCTCTGTCTGTTTAAAATGCCCCCTTTCCAGCCAGTGTTGGAGCCCTGAGAGCTGGTGGGAGAGGGGTCAGGAGCCCTCATACTGTCCCTGGACTACCCCAACAACTTTCCTTAGGGTTCCACCCAAAGGCCTTCTTGATATTACTTTGCATTCCCCGGGGATTCACAATGCTTTCTCAAACCTTTTTCTCTCCTGCGCCTTTTTGTAACGGGCAATTGTCAATGTCTTCATCATGTTTTTTGCAAATCGTACGACCCATCTCCACGTCTATTAAATATGTCCAATTAAATAGCTGTCAAGAAGAAATTGCAGAAACTATTATGAAATACCTTGTTGTAATGAGTAAACAAAGAGAAAAAATAGAAAAAGGAACAAAAGATGTGAATATTCATATGCATGTCAATAAAGATATACATATCATTACAATATCTTTTTTATTTCAATTTTTCTTCTTAATTCTCCATTTCCCTTCAAAAAGATGTCCATTAAGCTGAAAGTATGGCTCAGTGGTAGAGCATATGCTTAGCATACACAAGGCATTGGGTTTTGCTTCCAGCACCAAAAAAAAAAATGCCCATTAAATAATAAATACACCTAAAGAAGATATGAGAGTCCTCTGTCAGCACTCTTCCCCTGGCTTCTCATGGACAGGGTGATGAATATGCAGGGTGTAAAACGTTGCACAATCAAATCTTATAGAGCAAGGACCCTTCTTCACATGCTACAACCATAACGGACAAAATGACTACTCTCAAATTTGTGCCTAAGCAGCATCAGCCAGACACAGAGAAGGAATGCTGAATGACTAATTTTACATAGAGCAGCAGAGGAAGGAAAGGGGGTTACTGGGGAATGAAACTGACCAAATGATACTGTTATATTGTGTGCATGTATGAATATGTAACAACAACTCCCAGTGCCGTGTATAATTACAATACACCAGTAAAAAGGGAAAAAATCATAATTATGGGTGATGATGGGGAGCTGGGAAGTTGACTTTCAGGTGGGTACTAAATGCACAGAAACAGCTGGCATACATTTGTGGAAGTAGATATTAACTGCCCCATGCTGTTCTAAATATTTATTGTGGTCTTAGAAAAAGTTATTTAAAGTTATTTTCGTTTCCATAACTAGTGGTCCATGATAATTCAGGAAGCACCCAAACAGGAAGGAAAAGCAAAACTAATCAGGAAATCCTCCCAGGGTGGAGCATGCATTTCACTCAACTGACCTTGAAATTGCTTCTTAGAAAGGTGATGACTCAGGAACTTAAGAATAGGGGCAGGTGACAACGATACACACTCATGCCTGACACACGCACACTCAGGCCCAACACATTAGGGTCAGCACTTACTGGGGACAATTCCCAATGCCCTCTCTGTGAATTAAGCAGGAGTTTGTTTGCCTTTGGAACCTCCCTGCCACTCGCATTTCCCTGCTGCCCCTACTAGCCATTTTCAACTTGCACAAATTTGCATGTAACAAGCACTCACTCTAATGGTCCAATATGAAAAATGCTAACCTGGTTCTGCAATGAGAGATAATTTCCAAGTCTTCCTCTGTGAATTAAGTGGGCACCTGCCTTTGGAACATCCTTGCCAGTTGTGTTTCAACACAGACTCCCACTTTCTTGTACCCTACACACCCCAATCATATACTTACACACTCATTTCTCACATCAACAACACCTCATGCACATGTGCCAATCATACCAATTACACTCTCACATGTATCCATGCCTGACACACGTTACCAACACTCATACATGCTGCCTCATCCATGCCCCTCCCTTATTGCACTGCCCCCACAAACTGAGTTCTGGGGTTCTACAGCTAGGCAGCAGCAGTAGAGGCAGTGAAGAGGTTGGTGCTGAAGGCTCCTGTGGTCCCCAGGGCTGAGGGCTGAGATCACCCAAGGATGAGGCATCCCAGGCAACAAGAAAAGCCGAGGAAAGTGTGTTCCTGGGCAAGTGGGAGGGTCCACAGACTTAAAGCTGCAAGAGTATGCTGCAGGTATGGAACCCTCCTCATCAGTCCCTGACGATGTGCCACTACCTCAGGGCTCTTTATGTGGGGACAATGCTCTGAGCATGGGTACTGTTACTACTGGACATTGTCACTATTGTATTCAAAGAAAGCAGTAAGGGACAAAAACAGATCTTGGTGGGAAAACTTACCATCAGCAAATGCTGATGCCACCTAAATGTCAGGGCCAATCTGTCCCCTAAAACCTACCACCTTTATGACCATTCCACAGGGTTGTCTTAGGACTCTTCAATGTGCTGTAACCTACCCAGATCTCTCCATCTCCCTCCCCCCATCTTCTTGCTTGGGCTTTCAATTGGTAAAGTCCCATCCCTTGTGTTTAAGACAAACTTGTAGACAAACCCTGATCCCCCTGCACACTTGCATCTCAGCATTCCTTCCCAGAGACACAGGTCCATGGAATATCAGGCATCCTCCTGAATACATCTGGTTCATCCTCACCCAGGAATATCCCTGAGACTGTGAGCACTTCTATTGCCCTATCCTCCACATGACTAGCCCTGCCCATAGAAGAGGGGTCTTCCCTGACCACCCATCCAAATAGCTACCACCTTCCAACCTTCCTGACCTCCCATAACCCTGTATCATTACACTGACCCATTCTGCCCTATTTCCCACTATCTCACTCATAGATTTGGGGGCTATATTTCCCCTGTCTTTACCCAACATAGCAGTCCCAAGAAGATAGGTTGTTGTCTGTCTTCGTCTCTGTTACCGACTTCCCAACTGACTTCTTGCATGAATATTATCTCATTCAAGTCACCAATTACCTAGCATAGTGCATTTCAGCCTTGCTGAGCAATGGGACAGTGCTCATCCAATCAGTCCTCCTGAGCTCAGTTTCAGACATTAATACATTTCTTTCTGTCTGTCTTCCTTCCTTCTGCCCTTCTTTTCAGGGGCCACACATACACATACACACACATACACATGTTGGAGCTCCTTAGTTATATCTTATTATTTATTTTTTTAAACACTTACCAAATTAAAAAATCAGTTGCTCTTTTCTCAGACCTAGGATTCCCACCCCACCCCGCTCCTGGTTTCAGAGAAAAAGTGGGCACTACAGGGGAAACTTGGCCACTCACCTCACGCTGGCTTCTTCGGACCCGCAGAAATTTGTAGGCAAACTTATCTTCCAGGGCTTCATTAAACCAAAATATAGCATACTCCAAAGAAAGAGCAAAATACTCTTTGGTCTTGTCAATGTCTACAAATCTGTTACTGCAGAGGTGGGCTCCCAGCACCACAAGCCCCACAAACAGGAGCACCTTCCACAACATGGCTGCCAGCGTCAGTACTAGGGGCACGGTGCAGGGGGTGGTGGCAGCTACACTTAGTGACTCCCTTGCCAACTCTAATCCCACATAGACCTGCCCACCAGAGATCCTGTGCTGCTGACTGCCTCCCTTTGTCCAGTGTTTCTGTCCAGTGCTTCATCTCCACTCCCCCACCTTGCTTCTCCCATCATCTCTAAGCAGAAAGAAGGCAGAGCAAGAGGTCATATTTTCTGCTCCATGGTGACATAAGCCCTAAAACAACCTGTGGGCATGCACATAACATATACCTTGCCTGCACAACTCCTTCAGCCATAGCCCAGCCCTGATAAGACTTGAATGGGGTCTGGAGCCCACCTAGTCTATCCTCACAGCCCTGCATCCCAGGATTGGCAGAGCCATGGAACTCTCAGGAGTAAAGGTGGATCCTGAGTATGAGTGAGTTGAGGTAAGCACCAGATTTGTCGATGACCAAGACTACAGTCCATGCCCTCAGGGAGCCTCAGAAGGGTACAAAGCAGGAAGCCAGCAACAGGGCTAGGAGAATCATTTCCTCCACAATTTCAGGTGCCTGCTGGTCACCTTGCCACCTCCCTTTCCTTACCTGAGGTCTGGCCATGTTTTTGCTTAGCAAAGGCAGTGGGCTGTAAGATTCCCAGTGCAAAAGGGAAGCCAAGTTCAATGTAGTAGCTCTGCAAGGATGTACATGGATAACCAGCCATGGGCCTGAGAAGGAGGCAGAAACTGGGGAAGGGGCAACTCTGTTGAGTATAGACTGACAAGCATCCTCACCCAGCTCTGCCTCTTTGCGGTCCCATGGCCTTCATGTGTCACACTGTATCAGGCTCTTCTCAAAGGAACTGACCCATGCCCTTCCTTCCTCCTGGGAAGACTTCTGAGAGGAAACAATGAAACAGGCTGGGAAGATAAGAAGGCTGTCAATAAGAGTAGGGATGCTGAGCAATGAAACAATTTTCCCTGCCTTGTGGTATCAGGACACCTGAACTTTGATAATCCTTACAAGGGCCCCAGCTTTGGAAACATATTGTAAGAACAGGACTGGAGCTGACACAGGAAGAGATGGGAGTGTGGATAGAATGATGGCCACAATCATGAACAACTTCCTACACTTATGGGTGGGAGGAAATGATCTTCCAAGATGGCCTGACACATCAATGGATGACTAACAGCATGGGGGCCTGAGGAATGCAGTGGGACCCTGCTTAGCCAACCATGCTTCAAAGCATGTGTGAACCCCCTTGCTTCCTCCCACCCAAGATGCTGCAACTTTCCAATTCTTATTTATCTTCACCATCCCTTTTTCTGAGGTCTGCCTGATCTGTAAGAGGCCCCTTCTTCATTGCAGGAGTAGGTTATGGTGGTCTTCTCCAATTCTAGATCTCTCTTGCCAAGAGTTAATCATTTTATTAGACCTTCTGAAGAACTGACTTGGAATTCTTGATCCTTTCTATCCACCTTTGTTTCCTCTTTCATGCATTCTTATTATAATCCCTTCCTTCTGTTTTTCTCCAGGTTTAACTGGGAATTCTTTGGTTCTTGCAATGGAAACCTACGTCATTGATGGCTGCCTTGTCCACCCTCCAGCATGTGCATTTCCAGACCTATTATGTGTCCCTCAAAGCCCAATATCAACAAGCATCCACACGTTTGTTACTTCAGAAGGTTTTAATATGTATAGCATGGGGATTGCTTCTCTAGCCCTTGTACTACATAGAGATGTGCAGTTAAAGTCATCAAATATTTCTCTCCTTAATGTCTACCTAATTTTTACTGTGGCAAGAGAGTGTTCTTTGAAATTCATCAAGATGTGGTTTAAGAACCGGAAGATGTTCAGTTTTGATAAACTTCTATAGGTTCATACTCTGCAGTTGTTGGGTGAATGGTCTGTGTAATACAAAATCAAATACAGGCCAAACTTATTGCCATATTGTGTGCATGTATGACTATGTAACAACAAATCTCACTACTATGTGTAATTATAATGCAATAATAAATAAATAAATAAATAGGTTTTCTAAGTTGTCCCAAAATATGAAATCAAATTTGCTTAATGGATTATTAAATTTTTTTATGTCTCTTGTGATTTTTTTACTCGTCAATCTGTTGATGACTGAGAAAGGTGCTTGAAACCCTCTCACCAGGATCCTGGATTTAATGGTTTTATTTCCTATCCCTGCCAGGAAGCCTGACATGTCCCCAAGGACAGACTACTGTCAGTGTTGATACCCTCCTCTACTTCTGAGCATAAGACTGGCCTCCCTGCAGAAGAGCCACCCACTGTGAGCCTGATGCCTGAGATGGAAGCAGAGGGAACACAGATGGCTGCTCACTGGCAATTTTTTTTTTAACATTCCTTTTTAATAGATGGGTGAGGAACATGGATAAATTGGAGAATGAATGAATGTGTGGGTACACAAACCAACCAGTGGGGCCCCAGCCTGAATTGCTTCACATGAACTGAGAAGTTTGATTTACTCAACACTCGGCACCTGCAGCCAAGGTAATGTAATAATTACAATAGATTCTCCATTGCTTATCGCTAATGGTGACATTCTTGGCAAACAAGCAATACAGAAGAGCTCAAAACTGCTCAGGGACCCATAATGTACTCAAAGATGCCTTTAATTGCATTGACACTGCACAAGCCTAGGACTACAGACTGTCTAGGGAAAGAGGGGATTTCTGCTGTGAAAAGCCAGGGGCCCCTTCCCCACCTGTACAGGTGCTGTACAGAAGAGTAAACTGGGAAAACCAAGGTCGGGCATCCACATGAAAAGTACAGCGCACCTAGAAGAAATAATAATTGTAACATATATCAGAAAAATGTAATGCATGGAGATCATTTAGCTTGTATAAGGTCTTGAGATGCATTAAAAGCCAATTAAAAAAAAAAAAGAAAAGTATAAACATTCACCTGGTACAAGGCTCATAAAACTCAAGTAGCCACCAGAAAAATGGGCAGAAGTTGATAAATCCATCACCCAACATGAACCCAAGGGGTATCAAGGGAGCACCTGCCTGAAGGCCATCACCTTGCCTTCTGAGGCATCCAGTCTACTCAGAGCCTCCCCAATACACATCACGATAGATGATCTATCCCCATGCTGTGTGCTCTGACAGAGCCAGCAGACAGCCTGAAAGATGGTCCTGCTGGCCACCATCAAACAGAGTAGCAGTACAAACCTACCCCAGAGGCTGCCTGCAAGGATGCTGGTTGGAGGGGGAGACCCCCCACTGATGGCATGCCTCTGATAGTCAACCATGCTGAAGCTCCCACATCCCATGGATCACATGTCAGTCATAGGATGGCCACATCAGAACTCAAGCCCACCAGGAATAGTCCTTACAACCCAGTTACAAGAAGGAAAGGTGGGTGAATAGATAACTAAACAGTCCTTCAGTCCCCAGACATGAGCAAAAGAAGAGTGAGGACCACAGGGAGAACATTATCTGTCTGAACCTCAGGGGTTTCAGAAAGGTACAGGGCTGGGACCCCAGGAAGGGCTCCATCTTGTGACAAAGGCCTCACAAATGTCTGCAGGTTGCCTGTGGTCAGCCAGTAAATCTGTGAGCAGAAGGCTGCTCCCAGGGATGGGAAACAGGCTCTGTCTGTTTAAGATGCCCCCTTTCCAGCCAGTATGGGAGCCCTGAGAGCTGGTGGGAGAGGGGTCAGGAGCCCTCATTCTGTCCCTGGACTACCCCAACAACTTTCTTTAGGGTTCCACCCAAAGGCCTTCTTGATATTACTTTGCATTCCCTGGGGATTCACAATGCTTTCTCAAACCTTTTTTTCTTCTGCGCCTTCTTGCATAGGACAATTGTCAATGTCTTCATCATGTTTTTTACAAATTGTGCGGCCCATATCCAAGTCCATTAAAAATATCATTGTCCATGTCTGTCAAGAACAAATGATAAAATGATCAGCTAAATATTTGCTTTTTGTGAATATAAAATAAAAAGAGAACCAAGTAGAAAAGAAGGCAAATGCAAATGACAAGGATATCCACTCATGCCCAATACACACCAGACATTCGCATGCTCATGCCCCAACACAGATCAACAACACTCACACATTCATGCCAAATACTGTAATAGTTACCACCAGTTACTGTTAGTGTGCAAACTAACAGCACTCACATGGCTCTCTCACATCTGCCCCTCCCTCCTTGCTCAGACTCTACACACTGAGCCAGTCTTGAGCTCCAATGCTGAGCAGCGGCAGCAACAGTAGATGTGGTAGAGTGGTTGGTGCTGAGGGCTCCTGTGGATCCAAGTGCCTACAGCTAAAAATCAGTCCAAGGAGGAGGCATTATCAAGGGAACAGGAAAGATAGGGGAAAGTGTGTCCCTGAGCAGGAGGATGGGTCTGCAGACCTTTGGCTACAGGAGAGTGCTGCAGATGTGAAACCCTCCTTGTCAGTCCCTGCTGACATTCCACCTGGTCAGGTTTTTTAATGGGAGACAATACTTTGGGTACAGACACAGTAACTGCCACTCACCTTTTTTTGGGCTCTTCCAACCTCTAGCAACCTGTATGTATTCTCTTCCGCGTTGTCATCATTGAATTGAGCCACGGCAAACTCCACTGATGCCACAAAATAATCCAGATTCTTACTAATGTCTACAAATTCTTTTTTAATGGTCCAGATATGGGTCCCCAGCACAATGAGTCCCATAAGCAGGGGCACCTTCCATAACATGGCTGTCCTCAGCCTCAGCACTGGAGGCTAGGAATACATGAGTGGAGAAGGAGGTGACAGCTGTAACTGGTGACGCCCTCCCCGCTCAGGAGCCCACATTAGCCCTGCCCACCAGAGGCTCTGACTTCCTCCTTCTCACCAGCACCTCTGTCCATCACCTCATCTTCACCCCCATGCTTTTCCCTCCTGTAATCACCAAGCAGAAGGCGGAGCAAAGGTCACATTTTTCTTCCGGGGGCAACATAGCCTTGAATGCACCCAAGAGCATGCATGCAAAATACCTGCCTGCTGCCTGTATATCTCCAGGACTGCTCCCAAGAGGTCCACCAGAGAGCTCCTAGGGAAGCTCCTGTCTGCTATTGCAGACCCATTCCTGGAGGCCCAGTGCCTGCCTTGCTTGCCCTTGCACAGTGCAGGCAAGGATTGCCAGGGTTGACAGAACTCCCAGGAACTCCGATGAGCCCATTCCTGGGGAATTGAAGCGGTTGTCAGTTCTGTTCATGACCTTGACTAGAGCCCATACCACCAGCTGGGCTCAAAGGAGTACAGGGTGTGCAGCCAAGAGAGATGAAGTGTTGGGGGTGTGGGGATCTATGAGAGGCCATCTTCCCATGCCCTGACTCTCCTCTGCCAGAAGGTACACCTAGCTCCATCCTCCCTGTCTGTTGTGCCAGTTCCTAGTTTTCCCTTACTTCTAAACATTTCCACAGACATCCTTTTTGACCTGTGGGCTATAATAGTTGTATTGTTTTATTCTCGACCATAGTTGATTTTCTAATTATCTTTTATCATCTTTTAACTTAAGTCCATTGTGTCCAAAGAACATTCTTTAACTTTTCTTTGATTTTTTTTTTGTTTGGAATATGAACAATATTCTCTACACTTTTTAAAAACAGTGGATATTCTGTATTTTTAGGTATATAGTTAGATATCTTTATAGAAAAGCCATTTTGTTTTATATACATATGTGTGTGTGTGTATTCTCTCCCTTCCCCCGACACACACACCCTTTATTTTTATTTTGTTTTATTGAGTTGTTTGGTAGGGTTTAGCTTTGGTATTAGTTTTGGTCTCCTTTCTGCCAGTTATTAAGGAGTCTTAAAATCTCTATGGGTTTGGTTATGAATTTGTCTCTCCTTCTTTTCTGACAATTTTGCTCTTGATATTTTGATACTCTGTCACTAAGTGCTTGTACAAGTAGAACTGTCACAGCCTCTTGGTGGCTGAACATTATCTCACTATGTATCTTTAGGGCTACGGTTGTAGCTCAGTGGTAGAATGCTTGCCTAACATGTGTGAGGCACTGGGTTCAATTCTCAACACTACATACAAATAAATAAAAATAAAGTTTGAAAAAAAAAGAGAAATATTTTTTTAATGTGGAGTATAGCTTCTAACTCTGAGGTCTACTTGTCTGATAGATAGTTAAGTATATCTACAATGCTTTGATTAGTATTTTCATGATATGACTTAACCTATATTTTTACTACTAAATATGGTATCTTAATTAATATCTGTCTTGGCTTTCAGAAGCATTTTCAATATGCTAAGAGTTTTTTTATCTGGAGCATTTGTTCCATTTCCAATTGCTCATGTCACTGATAATTTATGACTAATATTACTATTACTGCAATGTTTGGGTTCAAATCTACCATATTACTATTTGTTTTCTATTCATCTCATTTGCCAACTATTTCTTCTTTTCTTCTTTCTTGTATTGCTTTCAATTATTCAAGATCTTTTTATAATTCCACTTCTTCCCTTCATGTCTGTTATCCCCGTCCTCTATTTTACTCTTCCTTTGGTGAGCATAACTACAGTGATCATAACAAGTATCTTTGACTTGAGTCTCCAATTAATAAGTACTTTTACCTCTTCAAGGATGTAGGGGGACCCTTAGGACACTATTCCTCCTTTGCTCTTGTTATGATTTAGATATGAGTTGTTCCCCAAAAGCTCATTGTGTGACAATGAAAGAAAACTTAAGAGATGAAACGATAGGATTATGAGAACCTTAATCTAATTAGTGCATTAGTTCACTCGAATGGATTAACTGGTGGTAACTGTAAGCAGATAGAGTGTGATTGGAGGAGGTATGTTACTGGCGTCAAGACTTTGGGGTATATATTTTGTCCCTGTTGAGCAGAACTCTCTCAGCTTCCTGATTGCCATGATCTGACTACTTTCCTCCATCACACCCTTCAATCTTGATGATCAGCCTCATCTTGGGCCCAGAGCAATGGAGTATGCCATCTATGGACTGAAACCATATTTGAGAATAAACTTTTGCTCCTCTATGCTGTTCTTTTCAGGCCTTTCAGTCACAGCAGCGAAAAACCTGACTAAAATTGTGCTTTTCTATTTTTTTTATGTTATTGCCATGGTGCATTTAAATTCTTAATACATCTGCGCATCAATTAACATTGGGATTACATCCTGAGAAATGCATTGTTAGGTTATTTCATTATTGCATGAACATCAGAATGTATTTACACAAGACAAAATAGCTACAATTTCATTAAGTTAGATAATCTTAAAGTACCACTATTGCATTTGTGGTCCATCATGGACTAAAATGTTATGCATGCATGAGTGCATTTGAAAGCCAATAAAACAATATTATTTTATTTTATACATTCACCACTCATTCATATTAACCTACCTATGAACCTTCTGTCATGTATTATTCCTTCAATATTACTTTGCTTCCTCCTGAGTTCATTTCCCTTTCCCTTTAAAAAAAACTCTCTTTAGTATTTACTTTTGTTTGGATCCTATTGATATATCTTTTAGCTTTTTCCTAAAGTTGTCTTCTCACTAAACATTATGATCAGGAAAGCCCCTGTCTGACAGGTTCATCCAAGATTCTTTTTTGTCTCTTCTGGGATAATGGGAGTCCCCCCATTCATAGCTAATGAATTTAAGACTAATCTAAGCCCTACTCTGGCTGCATCCTGTATGTTTTGATATATTGTGTGTTTATTATATTTGAATTCAAAGAATTTTCTTATTTCCTTTGTAACTTTTTCTTTGATTCATGAGTCATTTAAAAATTTACTATTAAAAATGTACTATTAAATTTACAAGTATCTAGAGGTCTTCAAGTTATACTTTCATTGTAGTGGTCTACTCTGAACAAAAAACATACTCTGAATCAGTTGCATCTTTTGAAATTCTTGAGGTTTCTCTCCTTGTTGATTTTCTGAAAATGGTTTAATTTTCGCTTAAGTTGAAGAATATTTTTGCTGGCTATAGAATTATAGGGTCTTTTTTAACAGCATACTACAAGGACACAGCCACATCAATGTTTATAGCAGCACAATTCACAATAGCTAAACTGTAGAACCAACCAACCAACCTAGATGCCCTTCAGTAGATGAATGGATAAAAAAAAATGTGGCATATATACACAATGGAATATTACTCAGCAATAAAAGAGAATAAAATCATGGCATCTTCAGGTAAATGAATGGAGTTAGAGAAGATAATGCTAAGTGAAGTTAGCCAATCCCAGAAAAAAACAAATGCCGAACATTTTCTCTGATATAAGGAGGCTGACTCATAGTGGGGTAGGGACGGGGAGCATCAGAAGAATAGCCGAACTCTAGATAGGGCAGAGGGGTGGGAGGGTAAGGGAGGGGTAAGGGAGGGGGCAGGGGTTAGCAATGATGGTGGAATGTGATGGACATCATTATCCAAAGAATATGAATGAAAATACGAATTGGTGTCAACATTGTGCTCTATATTGTAATATGAATTGTAATGCATTCCACTGTCATTTATTTTTTAAAAATCAATTTAAAAAGAATTCTAGGTTTTTGAATTATTCTCTTTTATTTATTTGAAACATCAAAGCTGGGCTTCTTAAAGTGGTCTATTTCTAGTTCATTTTTACTCCTAGGATTTGACCTTTGATGATTTAAGCTGAAATCATGGGATACTTACCCCAGACTTTCTTTCTTGGCAGGTGCAAGTTTTTGTCTACTTTTAATCCCCTCAGTTAAAGCAAAAAATTAAAAAGCCCTGAAAATCACAGCCTTTTATCTCCATTATTACCCCCAGTACCCTCCCACTCTCTCCTTTCTGCCCCTCCAGGTGTTTCTCTGAGTCAGGCAGGAGAGAGAGAAGACTGTTCCACATCAGGCAAGTGTCCATCATCATGATGTCTCTCCCAGGGGCAGTGATTAGTGTCTGCAACCAGAGTTCTCACCATGGACACCAGGCTGGGTCCTCAGGTCAACTTAAGTTGACCTTCAACTGAAGGTCAGAGGATTTAAGCATCAAGGAGATCAGAGCATGCTGAATTGAGCTGCTGCTTCTGAGGTTGGTCCTGACAAAAGATTTTTTGTCAATCAAATGACTGCCCAGGACCCCAGGGACAGGATTATGTGGCTAGATCTTTTGGAGATTCAAGGGCAAAGCAGAGGCCTTCCTGGTTAAGGTCCCTGGGGGATTTGTGGGAACTCCCAGAAGTTCTCCTGGGTTTGGCTTCATTGTCAGGGAGGTTCATAATTGAAAATATTTTTGTATACTTATGTTAATAGCAGCTTTATTTACAATAGCCAAGAGTTGCAAGCAGCCCAAATGTCTATCAATCGATGAAAGTATCAACAAAATGCAACATTTATGTATAATGGCATACCATTCAGACTTAAAAAGGAAGGAAACTGTGATACATGCTACATTGTGGATGAACCTAAAGGATTTATACTAAGTAAAATATGCCAGTCACAAAAAGATAAGTACTTAACGCTTTAACTTATATGAGTACCTAGAGCAGTTAAACTCACAGACACAGAGAGTAGAATGATGGCTGCCAGGGGCTGATGTGGGGGCAGAGAAATGGGGAGTTATAGTTTAATGGGTATAGAGTTTCCACTGGAGATGATGAAAAAGTTCTGGAGTTGGATGGTGAGGTGATTGCACAACAATGAGAGTGTGTTTAATACCCCTGAACTATACTTAAAAATTATTAAAATGACAAATTTTATGCTACTTGTATTTTA